TCATGAAACATTTTTTTAACTTGAATTATGTATATATTGTTTACATAGTAACAGTAGGAGTATATCACTGTTATTACTATCTTTCATCATTATGTTCTGTATATGGTGAAATCTATTAGATTTGTTTTACGGAATGTGACGATATTCGATCATTTGCATTTTGCTTTTCCTTGCACTACCCAGACTTAGTCATTTAAATTTAATTTGTTCTTTTTTCCTTATTCGTAATGACATAAAATTGTTAACATCATGTTTTCATTCAGTGATGAATCGTTATTATGGTGAGGTAATTGATTGGACTTTGAATTTTCTGCTTAAAATGTAGATCATCTCAAGTCTCGTTGTAATATGTTTGTACAATTCAAGGAATGTTAGAATTAATATATTTAATGTAACATTCCTGCATAATGTAATTAAATATACGTCTTGACTTTTTGTAGAGATTGCCCTACTCCACTTTTACAAAGCAGTTGTAACATGCTGCCATCTGGTGTTAAACTTAAAAACATCCTCTCAAAATGCTAGGATGAGCCCTGGTATTAAAACTAGAAGCTACTGGCAGCAAGTCCACACCAGAGGGCGCTGCTGCACACAGCTTTTTGTCCGGAGTCCGAAGTAAGTTGAGGCCAAACAATTAGTGAGTAAGTAAGTAATCTAAGTAAGTAATATTTTTTTATATACCGCTTTTCACAGACCAGAGTCAAAAAGCGGTTTACTATTGTGGGCATTCGTCCTCTCACTCCACACAGAGATGGAAGTGAGGTTTGCAATAGATGCATATGCACTTGTGATCATAGAACTAAACTGTTTGGAGAGCCAACTAGTTAGATTGATTATATTATAATGGTTTCATTTTATAGTAGCTTTGCCTGACAAGCCAAACCAACACGATTTTTTCAATAATCTTTTCTAAAGCAGAGTGTTCACATTCTTGCGAGAATTCTACTTGCAGTTCGTCGCTTTTACATCGTTACATTTTATCACTGTCGCAGTGTGGCCACTAGAGGGAACCATTTTTTTACAGATTCCTCCTTGTTTTCTGTTCCACCCATGGACTGTAAATATTAACCCCATGTTCCACCCATGATGTATTGTATCGGTTCCACACATAGACTCTTCACCTGTAACTGCAAAGATCTAATGAAAATAACCCCAAAACAAACACTCATCTGAATCGCTTTACCTAAGACCTGTCTTCCCTTGACATGCTAACAATCTGTACCCATTGTGTACAGTATAGCTCTGTATTTACAGTAGCTTGCATCACACTTTTAATTGACTTAAAAGCCCAGAGTGGCAGAGCTATAGGCCACAATATGTGCACCAGAGGACCATGTGTGATGTTTGTGTGATGTTTATACGTGGTCGCCTATAGGAGCAGCAGGGCCGTTTCTATGGTAGCACTGTCTCTCCACGGCCTCGGGGACGAACCACACTGCTCCGTCATTACCATGGAGATAGATAGGAACAGGTTTAGGCCGCGAGCAACATATGAAACATCAAAACACCCATAACATCACTGTGAAATGTAAACAATATAAACAGACTTCAACCCTCATGGGGGCTTGGTGGCACTGACCTTTAAAGAATAGGAGAACAAACGTATAGATTCCATAGTTATACACCAGATCTAAGGACATTATGGAAAATGGTCACAAAATCTGTTGGTATAGTTGCATCTAGAGATATGGCTTTTGAAAAGATAAAAATTCGGTTCCTGCATTTAAAAAGCAACATTGTATTTATTGTATCTACAATGGACTTGCATGTTTGTTCAACTGGAGCTCTCTCTGTAAAGCAGGATCACAGGATAATTTTATTTTAAAAAAAGATGGATTTGGAGAGAACACTTTACATCTCAAAAAAAGAATAATATTTGGACAGTCACATATTATATAGAAAATTGGCCACAATAAAATAAAAAGCACACCGCTCTTAGTTAGAGGGCACAAAACATTGCCAGTGTGTTGATCCATGTAAAATATTCAGAGATGTTTTTATCCCCACAATGCAATGACAATGGTGTAGACACTGTGACATTGTTGCCAATAGCGACCACAATTTTCCTGTGCCCCAAATGCACAGCTCTGTACCTGTGGCCTGGGGCGGTGCATGTTTTCCTGACCCTCTGGACTGGTCCTCTCATGTCACCTAACTGTGTGTCACTAAAAATAAAGATGAGATTCGCCTGTTTGGAGATGCAATCAGCAGACAGCTCCATTAGAAACTGTTGATTGGATGTTGTTTGTGTCGAGTGTCCAAGTGCTACAAGTGTCTCTACTCAGAAGCTTGCCAAATCAGATTTAATTGCAGGGTATTACTCAGTAATGTATACACCTGGGAAATAAACTGGCAAGACTTTCCAGCCTGCTTAATTATTACTTTAATGCTTCCTGTTTTCACACATGTGTGTGTGTTTGGTCATATACCTGTCATGTTCCTTATTGACAAGATAGGTGCATGTTGAATCCAGAATGAGGACTCGAATCATAAACCATGGTTTCAGTCACACATTGATAATACAGATGATCTTAAAATGGTGAGCCTTATATTGAAATAATGAGTTTCTAGACAACTGCAAAATAAAAGACAGCTTGAAGTCATCAGGATTATTTTAGATTCTGTGTTTCTATGTTCTGCTGACTTTAGACACTTCTGAGTTGTGAGCAAAGACACGCATCAGCCTAAACAATTATAAACAAAACTAACATTAACTTAAAGCGCAAACAGACGAGTCCAGACCTGTTTCAAAAGAGGACAATTTGGACTGAAAGGGTTGGGGAGACATAGAAGGTCCTCAAATCAGTATAAATACAAAATGTTTGAATAATAAGTGGAACAGTTTCTGAATGTTTAACATTTTGAATTATGTGAAAAACAATGATACAAAAATATACAAATCAAATGTAGAAGTAGCCTTATCAATTCTAACAATCTGCCTCCCTGTGTCACAATCATCATATAAAGTGTGTTCTGCTTTGACTCATAGAATAATAGTAATTATGTTCAGCCTCATCCATCAAGCCTTGGTGTTGTGGAATATCTTATTTACAAGGACAGTGTGTGACAGATATCTTTATCTTAATGCTCTGAACAGATGTTTTTCACTTGTCCATATTTTTCCCCATGATTTCTTTTATTTGAGAATCTGTCAAATGTGTTCTAAAGTGCATAAATGGATGTTGTCACTAATGTCAGTTCTTGCTTTGGTCTCGGAGTGGAGCAGCTGCTTCTTAGTGCTGCTCAAATATTTACCTGGTGTGATTTCGTGCAGAGACAGAGGCAGATAAGAGAGTGCTGCTGTTGGGACCAATAAAACAGACCCTCTGGCTCAGAGAGACACAGATACATTTAAAGACATATACTCAGAGAGAATCTCAAATATAACATGTAATCAATTGTGTCATAATATCAGCTATTAAAAATATAAAGCGCTGTGACTAAAGATGATAGAAAATAAGGATTATAATTAGCCTTATTTTACTTACTTTTTATATCAAAGTTTGAGGAGAATCAGCCACAACATCTGTCTTTGTCTTGATGCTTTGGGCTAAGAGCTAAATGACTGGAAGAATGTAGCTGTCAATTTTAATCTGTCTGAAAATATGTGAGGCAAAAATAGATGCAGAAACTAGTTTACAAAACTGCTTTGAGAGCAGGGAACGAGTTTTATGGATTTGTAAGTTATCTTTGAAAGGTGGGTCCCTGAGCTTTAATAAAGAAATAAAGAAGTAACAGTCAAGAAGTACAAACATTTATTGTATTGTAAATGCAGTTTACACTTCATGTTTCTCACAAATGTAAATTCTCTTGTAAAAGTTACATAATGTGAACTTTGGACATTATTGAATCTTTGTGGATCTAGTTACATATCTTCTGTTTTGTTGATAAAAAAAATGGAGGAAAATCATATCTACACGGAAAACTATACTCTTGATATTATTACACACTCTGTTCAAGTTGCAGTCTTTCCCACAAGTCTTGCACTATGGTACAGTAAATATGTACTATGTCATTTTACAGGTGGAAATACTTTTTTCTGATCTATTTCTCGTTGTTTACATGTTTTTTTGTCACTGTTGGTCAGTGACTTTCAGACCACAAGAGATTTATGTTCTCATAAAATTTGACAATAGTCAGGCTTCAAAAAGGTCTGACGCTGTTGCAATAATTAGAATATTGATGGATGAATTCTGGAACGATGGATTATGGAGCTAAATGGCTGATGTCCCACAAATCATGGATGGTCACCCGACTGGTTCATGAGGGGAGCTTTCACGTTTCCATTGGAGGAGCTCACAGCCTCAGAGGATCTATAAGCTCACTCACGACAGATATGCCTTGAACAACTGTATTGCTGGTTTTTTACATTTTTGTCGGGATAGTTTGTGGATTAGGAGATCATGGTCAAGAAGAACACATGGCTTTTTTACAAGGTGCAGAGTGATCAATGTATGTTGATCACCACGCTACCTTTAGTTAGTTTGAAAATGCATTATTCACCAAACACAACTGTATAAAAACACCTGTGGTCAATTCCAGGTGGACTGCTCCATGCCCTGACTGTTAATGGGATATTCCGTTTTACAATCCCAGACTTTTGCATTTTCTGAATGTAATTAGTTATATTTCTGTTTGTGCGATTGATAGTAGTAGTCGTTTTTTTTTATCCATGAGGCATCTAAACAACATTATAACAAAGTACAGGCTGATGGGAGGAGCCTTGAACAAGAGGCAGGGACTAAGTTCCGGAGGGAGAGACCATAAAACTTTATTTATAAAGACATAGGTTAAAAAAGTTTATTTAGAATAATATGCCCTTTTTAGAAATATTGAAAGCTTACTGCCTCAGTTGCTCCCAAGGTAAAGTATAAGTGATAGATTCATATTTGCAAATTCACCCTCAACCTTTCTTCCTAAATCAGAGGCGGCGTAACAGGCCCTTTTCCCGCTCCGTCAGAGCTGAGCACAAACCCAATTTCCCTCCACACAAATAACTGATGTGTGTCCAGGACCTGCGCTTGTCCTTGGAACTCACCGCTGTCCGTAAGAGGCGAGATGGGAGCAGTGTGTGGTGATAGATCAGGGCAATTTGCAACCACTGACTTTCAAAAAATCAAATTACATGCCAAAGTGCAGGGACAGGGCTAGAAAAAAAGCTTGGTTTGAGTAAAAGGAATAAACATAGACAAAACAAGACAAAAGCCAAAGCCAATATAAAATACATGTTGTGCTTGTTCCACAGAATTGATTTTGTAACACGCTTTCTTTTTTCTCATAACCCAATTTGCTTTTGGGTTTTCAAAAATCTTTTACTTCATAGACTGAATTAATATACTTGATTAAGGTCATGAGTTCCACAGTTTTAAAGTTCTTTCTGTGTTTAAGGTATTAGAACGCCATGAAAAAACAATCCATTTGAAAAAAAAAAATTGAATTAAAGCTGCACTAACTGACTTTGGGATTTTGAAGCAGCAGACTCGCTGGCCTCTCTCTCTCTGCTCCCCTCCCCGCACCCACGAAGCTATCGCCCCCCACACACACTCACTGTTGGGACGAAGCTAGCGTCTCCCAATATGGATAATACATGAATATGGATTTGCACGTGGATGGCGTGACCATAAAACGATAGAACCGGGAAGCGCGGAGGAATGGGACTTTCTTTTGGATGGCTGTCTCGCTAAGTAAGCAGTAACCGGTGATGAAGACACGAAGCTTCAGGTTAGCTCCGCCGCTTGTTGTGCTAACTCAGCTGTCTGTGCTAACGGACCTGTAGATTTCTCACGAAAGTGGGGGCTAGTGGTGCGCTGTGATTGGTCACAATCTGCGACCCGAAACACATTCTCTTCCTTGTTTCATCAAAACTCGATCTAAAATATAATGTCACGCCAGCACAAATCTGCGCTAATTATTCTTCAAAAGGACGTATATCCCAATGCACTACATGGACATGGATAGCATTTTCGTAATGAATACGAAAATAAAGTCAGTTAGTGCAGCTTTAATTGAAGCTAGAGTATATAACTTTAAAACCACAAACAATATTTAACTGTTTAGTTCCATCATTAGTAGTCACATTTTTGGCATTGGTCACATCTTAAGATCAGCTTTATCAGGCAAAAAGGAAGGAAAACGGAAGGAGAACCACTGTGCACCCACTGCATTAGAGCCGGGACCAGAGGCAGGACCAGAGCCGGGACCAGAGGCGGGACCAGAGGCGGGACCAGAGGCGGGACCAGAGGCGGGACCAGAGGCGGGACCAGAGGCGGGACCAGAGGCGGGACCAGAGGCGGGACCAGAGGCGGGACCAGAGGCGGGACCAGAGGCAGGACCAGAGGCGGGACCAGAGGCGGGACCAGAGGCGGGACCAGAGGCGGGACCAGAGGCAGGACCAGAGGCGGGACCAGAGGCGGGACCGGCCAAATGCATCAACGCTGGTATTTTGGCCTGCATGGTCTGAGTGTGTACAGCTTCACCTGCTGGCGGCCCAAAGCCCCACCTGCTGGAGACTGCACATACGGTACAGGCATTTAATATTGATACTGTTCAAGTGAAACATACTACTCGAAAATTAAATCAAATCAAAGTAATTTGAGGTAGACTAAATATTTTCAGGTTAATTTGATGTTGTTGTTCTTCAACACACTTGCCCCAGTGTTCTAGACTAATTACTATGGCAACGTTTTTAGAACCTACTTTTACAAAGCTGCTCACAGGTGCGTAATTTTTGGTGTGAGGGTCAACCAGGTGGTAACATCGCAGCCAGTCAAGCAAACTGAAAAAGGAAGACATTTCTTCCATCATGAGCCCTGAGGAAATAGGAAGAACACACAGAGGCAGAAGAACATTGTAGAAGAGGTGAGGTTCAGAGGAGACGAGTAATCGATACCATTATAAAATCCGTCTTGGAGGTCTTTTTATACTTAGGAGGCTGACATGAATCTGCATGACCACTGACCAGTGCCTATAGTTCATAGTTCCTTTTTTGTCATACAGGTACATAAGTATGCCACTAAATTTGAGTTTTAATTTTGGTTCTAGGCCCAAAACGGACGTTTACATTGGCATGACATACTGTATGTAAGTTTCAATATGTCATGCATTACTTTTCCTTTATGTTTCCTTTTTATTGCTCAAGTATTTGAGTATTATCTCTCTTGCTTACCTTTTGTATTCAACAAAACATTCTGCAACAAATACAAAATATTCAATTAATCAACCATTTTGAAAATTAAAGATAGGATTAATGTTTCATCTGACCTCTGCTTCTCTGGGCCTCAATAGGGCAGAAAACCACAGCCAGTGTTGGGCAAGTTAAAAAATCAAAAATGCAAAGTCAAAAAATGTTATGCACTAGTACAATGATTCTCAATATGTGAATATAAGTGTGTGTGTATATATATATATATATATATATATATATATAAAAATTGTCCACTCACCTTTGGCCCTCCGCGGGCGGTTATCCCTCTCTAAGCTCGGGTCCTCTACCAGAGGCCAGGGAGCTTGAGGGTTCTGCGCAGTATCTTTGCTGTTCCTAGCACTGCACATTTCTGGACCGAGATGTCCGAGGTTGTTCCGGGGATCCGCTGTAACCACTCATCTAGCTTCGGGGTCACTGCCCCGAGTGCACCGATCACCACGGGCACTACTGTCACCTTTACCCTCCAGGCCCTCTCCAGCTCCTCTCTGAGACCTTGGTATTTCTCAAGCTTTTCATGTTCTTTTTTCCGGATGTTACCATCGCTTGGAATTGCCACGTCCACCACCACGGCTGTCCTCTGCCCTTTGTCTACCACCACGATGTCAGGTTGGTTTGCCATTACCATTCGGTCGGTCTGTATCTGGAAGTCCCACAGGATCTTTGCACGCTCATTTTCCACCACCTTTGGAGGAGTTTCCCACTTAGACCTTGGGGTTTCCAGCCCATACTCTCCACAGATGTTTCTGTACACTATGCCAGCCACTTGGTTATGGCGTTCCATGTAGGCCTTCCCTGCCAGCATCTTGCACCCTGCAGTTATGTGTTGGATCGTCTCAGGTGCCTCTTTGCACAACCGACACCTTGGGTCTTGTCTGGTGTGGTATATCTGGGCCTCTATCGCTCTGGTGCTCAGTGCCTGTTCCTGTGCAGCCATGATGAGTGCCTCTGTGCTGTCCTGTAGGCCAGCCCTTTCTAGCCATTGGTAGGACTTCTTGAGATCAGCCACTTCTGTTATGCTCCGGTGGTACATGCCGTGTAGGGGCTTGTTCTCCCATGATGGGCTCTCCTCCAGCACCTCCTCATCTCGCCACTGCCTGAGACATTCACTGAGTACGTCATCCGTTTTGGCCTTCTCCATGATGTAGTTATGGAGTTTGGATGTTTCGTCCTGGACAGTGGCTCTCACACTCACTAGTCCTCGGCCTCCTTCTTTACGGCTTACGTACAGTCTCAGGGTGCTGGATTTGGGATGGAACCCGCCATGCATGGTAAGGAGCTTTCGAGTTTTAACATCCGTGGTCTGAATCTCTTCCTTTGGCCACCTGATTATTCCTGCAGGATATCTGATCACTGGCAGGGCGTAGCTGTTAATTGCCCGGGCCTTGTTCTTGCCATTGAGCCGGCTTCTTAGGACCTGCCTTACTCGCTGGAGGTATTTGGCAGTTGCCGCTTTCCTCGTCCTTGTGCGAGCGGCTTGCCATTTGCCTCAAGGGTAGTCTTCCACATTCCCATCGAGTTTGCAACGAAGTCCCTTAGAGCCCTGTTGATATTGTACAACTTCAAGCATTCCATGATCCATGTGTGTGGCATTGAGTCGTAGGCTTTCTGGTAATCAATCCAGGCTGTGCACAGGTTGGTGTGTCGTGACCGGCAGTCTTGGGCGACTGTTCTGTCAACCAGGAGCTGGTGTTTGGCTCCTCTGGTGTCCCTACCAATGCCCTTCTGTGCTGTGCTCATGAATTGTTCCATATGCCCACTTATCTTAGCCGCAATGATGCCTGACATGAGCTTCCATGTTGTGGAGAGACAGGTTATTGGCCGGTAGTTGGAGGGGACTGCACCCTTGACAGGGTCCTTCATGATCAGGACCGTTCGCCCTTCGGTTAGCCATTCTGGGTGAGTCCCATCTCTCAGCAGCTGGTTCATTTGTGCTGCTAGGCGCTCATGGAGTGATGTGAGTGTCCTTAGCCAGTAGGCATGGACCATATCAGGGCCAGGTGCTGTCCAGTTTTTCATACCTGAGACTCTTTCTCGGATGTCTGCCTCTGTGATGGTAACTGAGTTCTGTTCTGGGAGGTGGCTGTGCTCCTCTCTCAGGGACACCAGCCATATATATATATATATATATAAAATATATAATATATATATATTATATATATATACACACACACACATATATGTATGTATATGTATATATATATTTTTTTTTACCAGAAAAGTGCCATTGAGATTAAGAAGCTTTTTTTTCCCCAGTTCCGTGCAGAAGGAACAGAGAGCAACAAAAGATCATTTGATCCAAACCATATTAACCAACATGTCTCTGTGAGTAAATGGCAGATGTAAGTGGGCAGCAGACCAAGCCTTAGAAACTAAAGTGCACCAGTGTCCAAACCTTCTGTGGACAAAGACATCCCACTCCAGAATATCATTCACAGTGGTGAATCTTTGCAGTTTGTAATGAATTGAACATTTTAATGGAATCAATATTTAAGTACAGTTTTTTTTTCCTATAATTAAGTCTTATCTTTTATCTGTTTGTGATATGTTTAATTTTATTCCCTTCAGGAGGACACTTAACAACTGTCCAGGGACTACAGATGAAAAATAGCCTTTTGGCTAATTCTGGCTTATTTACATGCATAATGTATTTTAATATGCACTGTCCCTTTAATAAATAAATAAAATAAATAAAAATTACTGGTGAAACTGTGTAAAATGTTAAAATGGCTGATAATATTAAATATACCTCTTTAGGAATGAAACTTCTGCCTTGTTTTTGATGAATACTTAGGCTTACTACACTACTGTATAGTGTTGGTCATTTGTGGTGGTACTTGGAGAAGCAAGTATTTTCTGAGGTGGTACTTGGTGTAAAAAGTTTGAGAACCACTGCACTAGTGTTACTTGTTACTGTTATTTCAAAGTAATGTGTTTCACTACAATATTACTGTCTCTGAATTTTACTACTTCATTAATTTTAAGTTACTTTCACCAAATTTAATTTTACAACTTCAGCCATCTTTTATCTACCAGAAGGGAAAAAAACTTCCTATTGGTCAACTATTGGTGCAGATTTGTTCTCCTCTGGTGATATTGCGGTAATGAAACCAAACACAATTGCATTTTGTGTTGAAAACGCAATGCAACACTTTTACCGCGTAAAAACAATACATTGTAGCAACTTTTTTAAGCTGCTAGTGAGTTCATATGAGGCTGCATTTATCCAAAACAAACGGAAAGGACATTTCTGCCTCGGCCCTCAAGTACAGCTGTCAGAAATCACTTTGCCGCTTTTTACGAGTGATACATAGTGCCCAAAAGCCAAATTATGAGCAGCGAAAATAACCCAACGTACGGTAAATAGCCGTGAGCGTGAAAAAGTAATTGCGGTGTGACATTTGTGTTGGGGGAAATGACAGGAGCGGTGCTGGCCAAGCCATGGCCTGAACAAAAGCCTGTCTCTGATTTGACAATGCAATCAGCGCTTCACAAAGGCATCGGACGTATCGTATTCATCATCTCTGAAGCGCTCATCTGACTGCTGCATATCATTCCTATATACTTGTCCTTGGCATTTGCTGCTTTATTGAGAAAATTCAGCTCAAGGAACCAGAATAAGATTATAGGAGAAAATCCAAAATGTCATGGCAACCTGTCATTAAATCTACCTTTACGGTATGAGGTATAGGAGAATAAATTTACCGTGAAAAGATTTTGGATATGGCGAATATGTTGTTTGCATTTATCATGGACATAGAGTTTCACATGGCGCTTTGACTCATTTTTATTTACTTTTTACAAGTAATTAAGAGAGCAATTTAATTAATGTCAAAACATGTTTCGTTCATTCTTCAACAATTTGTCACAGTCCAAGCTTTATTCCTTGCTTTCTAATTTTTAGAGAATAAAAAAAATCTTCTTGAAGTATATATTTACCAGGAGTATATTTTGTTAATATATCTGCACTCAGGCAACACAAATGTAAAAGTATGCTTTACTGTCCACGTTTGACTCATCCTCTGTCACTGGGGTAACCTGTCTCCTCTGTTTTTACTACAAGAATGTTTGCTGCTCGGCTTAGTCAGGTCTACCGGAGCTGCAGGATTCTAGTTGGTGCATGTTACTGGTGCTGGGTGAGACTGGAGGGCTCTCAACCACCATGCCACTAAACTATGGAAAAATCAATTACAGCCACAACAGTTGGTAGGGATGAGTTCTGGGTAATGTGGAGTTGACCATGATCACGACTTGATGGC